GAGAGGTCCAGGTACTCCTGCCAGGGTGACAGACCCATCAGTGGGTGCCCCCCGCCGGGGACTGGGTGACCCCTTCCCGCACCCGCCCCACCACACTCACATCGGTGGACGTCACGGTGAGGACTCTGTCCAGGTCTTCCACCAGCTGCTTGAAGGTGGGTCGCTGCGAGGGGACGGCGTGCCAGCACTCCCGCATGATCATGTACCTGCATGAGAGGGGAGAGGGGACAGTCACCTTGGTGGGGCTATGCAGCACCCACCGCCTGCCCACCCACCCTAAAATCGCCTGAGAGAACAGCTACGGCCAACGCAACCCCAGTCATGGTGGCCTCGGTGCGTGGCTGGCTGGGGGGAAGAGGAGGGTTTTGTGGAGCCGTGACCCTCATCACCGATCATCTCATGCATGACTGTGCTCTCCAAGCAGGAGGAGAACCTGTCCTGAAGGTGACATACCAGAGCTACACCCCAACCAGCACCTGCCAAACGAGGTCAGGCACCGTACGCTGCTCAGTAGCCATGGGCTGAGCCAAAATGAGTTGGGATGGGTAAGTCTACCTGGAGATGGCTGCAAAATTTTGTGGTGGGGATGCACCAACAGCTCAAACTACAGCTCAAACAGCCTAGGACACTATTTGGCCATAGAGGGAAGGGTCAGCAGTGCAAGAAGGTCAGCCCACACCACACACTCACAAATCATGGGTGCAGTTCGCAGGTTTGTCCATCCGATGGCCTTCCTTCAAGAGCTTGAAGAGTTCCTCAACAGGAATTCCCGGGTATGGAGACCCTCCCAAAGTGAAGATCTCCCATAGTAGCACTCCAAAGGACCAGCTGGAAACCAAAGAAAGATCTTTAAAATTCAATGAGTATTTTTTTCCAAGCATCCCCCCATATCCCTTTCCCCCTGGCTTGGCTTTATTTCTGTGCAGCCATGCATAGCTAACAAAGTCATCAATAGCATGACTAATTGCCTAGGCCATTTTTACTAGTTACTTGGAGATCTCTGCTGATCCAACTCAATAGCAAAGAAATCCCAGGCACCAAGTCTGAAATTGAAATGAGCATTTAATCAGATAGGTGACAGCCCATCTATCACCCCCAGCTCTTTGTTAGGTCTTCCACCAGCTCCACTGAATGGAACAAATCAAATTATTCATGCACGGCTTCACTGAATTGCAGGCTTGGAACCACAGGCCACTAATTGTGCAAGCTGATACCAAAACTTGCTTGTTACAACACTCATTTCACTGGCCAAGCCGGGAGAAAAATACCCCAACAAAAATCAGCGGAGCACTAATGTTACACACTCCAGTCCTGCAGCTGTGCTCTGGTTAAAAGTCCTCTTTTTCAAAAATATCTTCTGCCTTCTTCATTTTCTTTTTAAAAACAGGGATTATCTGTCTCTGTTTCGCTTTCATGCACACTCGCTCTCCCGTTCTCTAGCTTTGATTTATCTGTCATGCCTTCTGCAGCATTACCTAAGCATGGAAACTATGATTTAAGATCAATAAAACCCAAAGTATGGGAAAACTACAGAAATAGAGTAAGATTCGTTTGTGCAACTGCAAGCAGTGAGCTTTGGGGAGCAGGCAGGCTGACTGTAAAAACGCCATTATTGACCAAATATTGCAATAAAAATTCCAGTGTGCATGTGGAGCTGCTTCAGCCCTTGCAAAATTCAGATGCGATACCGACCTACATGTAAGGCGGGCTCTGCTGTTTGCTTTACTGTGCAGAGGCACTGAAAAACTAGATAGGATTAGGAAAAATAAAGGAAATAAAGGTGGCAAAATTAATCTGGGGATATATTTGCTGAATACTCTCTGATCAATTCTAACAGTAGACAGAGTATTTCAAGCTCATTCCACATACTTGACTGAAGCGTTAACTCTCTGGGGCAAAGCGTGGAGGATGCCGAGGGTGATTTTTTTTTTCATGGAGATTTTTTTTTTTAGCACAATATTTTTCAACCGCCAGATGAATCACCTCATCCATAAGCTCGACAAGAAATGCCTGCCTGCTTTCCAATAATTTTTCAGCAGCTCACTAGAGATCCTCAGATGAAAGCAACCAGATAACGGCAAAACAAAACCACGTGTGCGAAGATGCAGCTTGGAACTGATTCCTACGTTTTTGCATCTTCGGGCGCCCCAGGTCATGCTTAGCAGTATGTTTGTCTGTAAGATATTATAGGTGTTGATTTTCCTGTCATTTTATTTTTATTTTTTTTAAAGTGTAGGTTTGCTTACACATCGCTCTGGTGCGTATAGACCCGGTCAAACAAGGCTTCTGGAGCCATCCATTTCACAGGCAGCCGACCCTGTAATTAGGAAGACAATGGGAACATCCCATCAGCATATTTCCCCAGCCACAACGGCACCATCTGAATCTTCTTTTCTAATCCAGTTTGAAACATTTTCATTAACAACCACATCTGCCTTCCCGGTCACTGGGCAAAGCAGCAGTGGCCACATATAAACAGATTAGAGCATTTGATCCCTGGATCTTCGCTGACAATCTTTGCAGTAAATGCTCTCTGTCAAGGACTGTATTTCACTGCCAAGGCAGGTTTAATGTATCAGTGCATCCAAATCTTTGCATGGGAACAGCATCCACTACTCATAGATGCAGAGCATGGGACAACACTTTCTGTCTCTTTGGTTGGAAGAAACAGTTGATTACAAGTCCAAACCCAGCTTAGGCTCAACTTGAAGGGAACTCCTAAAGAGTGAAGGCAAGGGCCAGATCCTCTAAGAAACAAATCCCGATCCTGCTGGAGGCTAAGAGAAGAGGTCTGATCCCATCCTACATCAGGGTCATAAACACAGGCTGTCACATGAGAAATATGAAATGAGAAAGACTAGATTAATTATAATTCTCTGGGGCTTTGCTTGGCCCCTGGAGGGAGTCAGAAAGAACTGTTTCATGTTTAAGCCATAATTTGGCTATGGGGGAACTTTGTCCTCTTCTGACCTACTGTCTCACTGAGGGAGACAACTAGAGATGGAATACACAAATGGGATTATGCTTTCAGCTGTCCAACACAGGTCGAACAGGGAAAATCCATCTATCTGATCTATGACTAAAATTCCCAAGAATTGTTATTAATTTATGATTAAGAAATCCTGGCAATTAAGAAAGATTTCTGATATACTATTGGAGGGGATAAGTATGGGCATAGTGGGCTTCAAAGGACTGCCTGGATCATCTTCTCACTCTTGGCAGGGGGAGTCAAGGAACTTGGGATGTAAAAAAGAGAGAAATGCACGAAAACCAGGTAGCTCCAGGTATACAAGTAATGTTCCTCTGTCAAGGGCTCTAGTGAGACAGAAGTTGGCCTCTTGGGACTTTAAGGAACAGTACTGGAGCAGACTTGAGAAGGCTTCATTCCCCTATGGGAGAAACTTCTGTTTCTCTTAGTCTAAAGTTTCCTGGCTAGAGCTGAGACCTCTCAACCCGCTGCTGGCAGGAGCAGGATCTGTCAGGAAGAAAACAGATGGTGTATAGACTCCTTGGACCAACCTATCTATAGTCCCTCCCTACGTGAGGTCCCCATCAGATTTCTTCCTCCTAAGCCCCTCTAGAAAGAGAGATGTGGGACAAGGGCCACTTGCTGCAGGAATGACCGAGTTCCCTGTCAGAAGGAGAACTGCGTGTGCTCGGCAGCGCTGTACTTACATTGGTGGTTTTCTTGTAATAGTCAATGTTGTGAACGTCTCTAGCGAGGCCAAAATCAGCTATTTTCATCACATTATCTTCAGTGACTAACACGTTCCTGGCTGCCAAGTCGCGATGAATGCACTGTGGAAGGTGAGCAAGTCAATAAATAAGGGCTCGTTAGCTGCTTGCGCCTGGAACCAGCAGCACCGTGTGGTTTATGAGCTGCCGTTTCATTGACTCCCGAGCTCATAAAGCTGTGGGCACTGCTTAACTCCTGGCTTTCTGTGTCACCGCCCCGTCATGCATGCTCAGTGGGAACCACCTCTTAGCAACACCTAATCAGCAGCCCCAGTGCTGACACGGCCATGCACGTGCCTTTTCTCTCCAAAGGGGATGCACAGATGAGAAAGCCAACTCTCCCCTTCTATGGGCACATACCGGGACGTGAAGCCAGGAGGAGGAGTGCAGGCTGATGTTTGAGGGGGAAAAAAATCCTTGCATTCAGATAATACATCCAAAATACACTGAATCATAGCATGGTTTGGGTTGGAAGAGACTTTTAAAACTCACCTAGTCCAACCCCCAACATCAATAGTTGTCAGCTGACAAAGAAGCTAAATCAGTCAGCACTGTGCAGAAAGGGAGTTTAAAGCAACCATGAGCCACCCGCCATGAACTGCAGGCAGAGGACAAACACGTCTGACATCTGAAACTGAACTTGCTCTTGCTACAATGCTCCCTTGCCCACAGAAAGGCCATGCTGGCTGGGGCACAGCTTGGTGAACCAAAGCCTGATTCTCCACTTGCTGATGTCAGGGTAAATCAGGAGTAATCCCAGGGTATGATGTAAGCAAACGCAGCAGCTGGCTCAGCACCAGCAAAGTGTTCCCCTGGGAGCATCCTGGGCACCGCCATGCATCGAGCCAAATCCACCGCCGGCTCTGCTCCCACTGAGCCTACACGTGCTCGTGACAGCTGCAAACACATGAGCTACACTCAGGATCTCAGCCTCCCTGTGAGTGCTCTGCATCTTTAGCGATCTCAGAAAGGAGGTGAGGAGAACAGGGTTGCACTCAGCTTCTCACTGCTGTCCAACCTAACATCTCCTGCAGTGGAAGTGCACAATTCAGTGTGACGCTCATCCTGACCACTGCTGCCTGAGCCTCAGAACTGCACAGCTCAGTTACCTCTACCAGTGGTAGAGGTTGAACTGGTGAGGAAAGACACCAAGGACTGGGTTGATTGTGTTTTGTAGGCATTTTGGGGGTGCTAATGGTCCTGCAGGTGACAGCAAGGGCTGCACAGCTGCATGGTTCATGAATGCAGCCAGCATACAGGGACTTCTGCATATGGGTCATGAATACAGCAAAAACCCCAAGACACTTCATAGGGAAAAGCCTCCAGCAAAAACCCCAAGACACTTCATAGGGAAAAGTCTGGTCTCTAAAGGGAGAAGCCTGCAGTGCTTTGCCTGAGGTTGTTCCACACACATACAGCATGGCCTGCCTTTGAATACGTGGCTTTGATGGAAGCTTCTACCAAACGATGTTTCTCAACTCACTTTCTGAGATGCCAAGTACTCCATGCCCCGTGCCACCTGGTAGGCGCAGGAAACCAGGTCCTTAAATGTCAGCTGCTCCTCGGGCAGCTTGCAGGTGTCGAAGGAATAGTCCATGCCAGGTGGGCGACGCGCCCTGAGGTATTCCCGCAAGTTCCCCTTTGACGCATATTCCACCAACACATAGAGTGGTCCTGTAAAGAAGGGCACATCAGTGTCCAGCAGAGGAAGAGCTGACCACCAAAATCTCATCTGGGGTATTTTGGACAGCCAGTGAGTAATTACACAGAGGGACAGCCAAACCTGAGCCTCCCATGAGCACTGGGCTGCTCTGCTACGTACCATCCTGTGTGCAGGCACCGAGGAGGTTAATAATGTTTTTGTGCTTTCCAATCATTTTCATCATTTCCATCTCAGAGACCAGGTCGGAAAGGTCCTTGTCTGTGGCGTCATCTGGAGAAGGTAGGAGAGGAAAGCAAAAAAAATGTCATGGAAAAGAATAAATGTTTAGGGAAGTAGTTACTACTTACAGTAGTTACAACTGCTGTGTAGCCCTATGGGGCTTTGGTGTGGAAACAATACTCAAAATATGGCTGTATTTGGTTTTGTTCTACTTTGGGAAGAAGAATCAAAGTAAAACCAAAATCTACTACCATTAGAACAAAAAAAGACAAAAGAGCAAATAAGTGGAGATAAATGTTCATATGGAAATCAATAATGCCTTTCATCTTCTGTTTCTTCCTGGCAAGTATTATAGAAAAAAAGTCAGGTTTAGGTACCTGGTACCTACTTTTCTGATAGTTTCCCTCCCTCAGCTCCATGGGCAAAGAGTAATGATGGTGGAAGGTAAGAGCTGGGAGAGTGGCTACATGAAGGATTGTATTTTTTGTATAGAAAACTTATTTTTCTACAGAAATAGAAAAACCTTTCTGCAAAAGCAGAAAAATGGGGGAAAACCTTCCCAAAAGAATGCTTTGATTTGGAAAGATGTAAATGTTCCTACTTCCAAACCCAGCTTCAGAATGGACTGAAGAAAATGTAAATTAAACAAATCCTTTTCTGATAAGAAATATTACTTGTTTTTACAGTGTCACCCCATGTAACCTCAAGCCCAGGCTGCTCACTGCTCGAGCCCCTGCCCTACTTGCTCCAGCAAGTTTGGGATTGAGTTTTTTCCATGAAGTTCCTCAAGAAGGGGTTTGTCAACCGAATTTCTGCAAACCCCATCTGAGCTTGCTGCATAAGCTTTTGGTAGAACAAGCAGCGCTGGTTATGGGAGGAGCAAGGAGTAGGCTGATTTGTGGAGCTGGCTAGAAGTGAAGGAGGTTCCCCTTCTTCTCAGGAATGCTATTACCCCTTGGCAGAGAACTGGTTTAATTCCCAGTCCCTCTTCCTGATGGGATTTGCACTTTTACCTGCTCTCTAAGGACAACCCTCGCCCCCAGGCTATATGGGTGAAGGGGAAGAAAGGCAGTTCTTGCTTTCTTCTACTGTATCTGTTCGTATAAAAGACTTAAAAGAGAGGCAAACAGGAAATCCCAGCACAATAGGCTGTTCTGCCTTCTATGGACTCCCCATACCTTTTAACATCTTGACAGCAACCGTGACGGCCTTGTTGGGCTTGTCCTTATCAATCCCAATTGCTTCTGCCATCACCACTTGGCCAAAACACCCCTCACCAAGAGGCTTCCCCAAGGTCAGGCTGTGGGGAGGAACAAACAGGCATGTTATGGGGGTACTGGTGTGGCTACACCACCAGCAGGCACAGAGACTCCAACCCATGGGTTTGACTGACCGAGAACGTGTCAATTCCCACTTGGGATCTGGAGGCAGTTCCAGCTCGGAAACGTTGGCCAGCATTGGCCCATCGCTGGAGGAGAGACGCGTGATCCGGACCAGGGGCGTGTTGGAATTCATGGAAGAGTTGGACTCCAGCGACACCTGCTTGGGTAGAGCAAATGAAGTGTTATTGCCAACTGTATTCCCAGGGCAGGCAGTGCCTGAGATGGAACACTGAGGAGGTTTGAGCTCTCTTTGCCCATGGACACACATTTCTGGAAATTTCTAATCAGGAAATGCCCCCACCCTTGCAGAAATGCACTCATTTAGGCACCTGTGGTCAGGTTTTTAGCTTGTGGAAAGAAGGGACAGATCAGCCAGTGCCCTCCAGCAGCAATCCATTCAGTTGCTCCGTGTGCACATACAGGCTATGGAGTGACCTCTCCCATTCTGGCACTGTAAACAGCCACCATGAGCTTGCAGCCAAAGCTTGAAATCCGTATCCTTCACTATGGGGTTTCACGTGGTGTCTTTTGCTCCTGCCCCTCTGCAATTCCTCTAACTGCACAGAGGACCCTCTGCCACCTCCATGAGAACTGCTCTGGGTTCACCAGTGACCTCTGTGAAAGCAGGAAGGAGCACAATTAGACGTGCTCCTTCTCCTCAAATCCCTGCTCCATCAGGGAGCCTGGACTGAACTGTTCCTCTGCCAGATGTGCTTCTGTGGCACCCACAGTTGCAATGCCAGCCCCTCCTGGACAAGGGCAGCAGCAATGCTGCTGTTTGGGGCTGTTCATGAACCAGAGTCAGCAGCCACCTGCCATTGCTCCACTGGCACAGGAATTAATAAAAGGGGGTTACACTTCTAGGCTGCAGCCAACTTATGTCCCTTTTGGGCAGTGTTTTTCTGGTGGAGTTTCTCACCTAGAGAGAAAATGTCATAGAGGAGGAAGAAAAAAAAAAAAAGAGGGATACCATAGGGGGGAATAGGAATCTTGTATCTACTTTCTGTTACCTGTCTCTTGAGTGGAAATTTGGAGACTTTCTGTACAGTGGGGGTGTTCATGGCCTTTTTGTTTGGCATTTTCATCCTCCAGACAATCACCAAGACCAGCACCAGGAGAAGGAAAGAAAAGCCAGTGCCATAACTGAGAATGCCAGTGTACACTGAGCCTGAATCATCCATTTCCATGAGCTCCTCGGCTGCAGGGTGACAAGAGACGGCAGTCAGGACAGGGCAGGCAGCTGCCCACAGGCAACCACACATGCAGCACAAAGAATTTGGGGAGGACTTGCTCAGCTATGCCAATTTGCTGAGTGACTTCAGTGAGGGGATTCTCCCAGGCCAGTGGTTTTCTGCCTGCGGCTGTAGCTAAAACATTAGTTCAGTTTGCCTCTTTGGGGTAATTTTACTGCCCTTTGATGCAACCTTTGGTTTTTAAAAGTATTCAGCCCACAGACTGAAAATCACTGCTCTAGGCTGAAGGCATCTTCACACATCTGTGCTGTCCCTCTGACCCAGATCTTGCTTTCTCCACACATCCACACCATGCAGCTAGATGCCTTGGATGTGCAAAAGCTGTAGGACTGGGGTTTGCTTCACTTTACTCATTCAGATTCTCTATCAAAGATTTCCACTGGACCAGTGCCTGCTCTGAGGGACCAAGGGGCTCAAGGAGCACCCAGCAATAAGGCATCACACAGGGAAAAAGCCTCAGAACAATTTGCTTAATTATTCAATGAAAACAGTTTTGCTGTGTAGAGGCTGGAAGGTCTGGTTCAGAGAGGTGGGTGAGCCAGGACGGTGATGGCATGAGCCCATCAGCAGTGGCTACTTGCTAGCAAGACTTTATATTTAGAGACCAGCAAAGCTCAGCTGTGTTTTCTCTCTTGTTCCTTTCAGGACAGGCATGTAGACCAGGGAAAGGCGCCATGGTAGGACTGGTTTTCTGTCCCACAAAGGCATGCTGGCATCAGAGGAACAGTCAGCAGTGGGAAACTTTATAATGAAGTCATGCCGGCGTGGGTAGCTCACTGATGGATCGTCTCACCACTGAGCAGCCCCTTCGGCAAGCAGCAGGAGCCTTTCCCTGGCAGCAGCAGGCTCCATGTCAGGTCATGGATGCTTGTGTCCAGGGGGACATGGGGAAGGGGCTGTCGGTGACAGTGGGGGCTGCACCAGCCTGTGTGCCAGCTGTGGAGGGCCTGATCCTGCCAAACAGCCATCCCTTCCTGTGAGAAAGGGGTACCAGATCTCCTGGGACCAGGCACTATGGTTGGTGCCACAGCTCTGCTGCCTTGGCTCACACTGTCTCGTTCTCTGCTCCACGTCCCTCCTCCCATAGCGTGGACGGGGGTTTACAAGTTGAGGTTCCCCAGACAGGCTGTATCCTGCACCCCCTCTGTGGAGGCCTGCTGCTGCACAGACAGCTGTCCTTCGCTGTGTCTGACTTCAAAATAAAGTTCTGCTTCAGGTTTTTTGGTGGGTTTTCTCCGGCTTATTCTTTGATAAAGTAAGAGGTGTAAATTCATACATTGTAAAAACAGAGCATCAGTCGGTTGAGACAATATTGTGAGATTCTCAAAATAACAGAAACATTAGTCTTCTAACGAAAGGAGATGATTTCTCATCCAGTGCATGTCAGAAGCAGAAACAGGATCAGATCAGCTATTATAGAGCTGGCAAATAAACAGGAAAGATCAGCAGATCCCACCAGCTGCAGGGTCGGGCATGGAGGAGACCTTCTTAAGCCCCAGTAAAAGCGATTACACCCTAATCATCCGCACAGATAAAGTCAAGATTAGAAATGCCAAAGTTTCCAGTTCCTAAACACATCATGAGATGGATGTGTTGTGAGATGGACCCAAATGTGGTCTATGACTGGATGAGTCAGAGTGGGCTGTCCGGGATTTTGCATGCCTTTTCAGTAAGGGTCTATTGAACATACTCCAGGTCTTTTTCTGCACTCTGTGCAAGGCACAGCATATATGAGATTCAATATGAATGTTGCTAGTGCTTCTCTGGACCATGCTCTCCTACCCTGTAGCTGGAGGCAGATTCTGCAGGTGAAGGGGCAGCACAGCCTCATTCCCCCTTTTGGAGAGCAGATCTCTCTGTTGCATATTCTGTGCTGGCTTCATTGTCAATAAGAGCTTTGCACATGAAAGGACCACAAAATCGAGGTCACTCTGGCCTCGGGTTTCAAGCCCACTGCAGCTTTCATCGATCCCAGCTGGAGCAGGCAGCATGCAATGCCCCTGGGAGCCAGGACTCCTGTGCTCTGTCTGCAGATGACTCTCCTTGACCTTCTGTTTGAGATCACTATCTTGGCCTGCTCATCCGTGAAGTGGAAATAATGCTACAGGCAGGGAAGGGTGTACTCACACCAGACACTTATGCATCTAATTTTAGGTTAAGATATGAGGTCAGACAGAAAGGATCCTTCATAAGATGATCCACAATCCATGTCCAATTTAGGTGCCCTGGATCATCTCATGGAGAGGCTTCCTTCTCTTACTGGCAGTGTAAGAAGACAAAATTCCTTATTTTGGCACCTAACAGTCTCCTAACAAAGAGGCTGTGAACATCTCCCTGCTATCTAGATAAAAAGCAAAAACCAAAACCCGTGCATTTTATTTATTTTATTTTATTTAGTATATTAATTAATATTTAATTTATTATAATATTTTATTTACTGCAATGATTTAAAATTTTAGATGCAGTGCAAAAAGAGTCAGCTGCGAGTATGCAACAGGGGTCTGCAGAAAATCCCTCCCTGGAAAACACCCCTCTTCCAAGCAAGAGGCGGTCTGCGGGAACTTGGCATTTCTAAAGCAAAACATCAAGGCATCCTGGAGAGGGAAGGAGAAGCCAGCACAGAAGGAAATACCTGGTAGCACCGTCAGCCAAGCAGAGTGATGTGAGAACCCAATAGAATTCCCTGCGAGACAAGTATATTCCCCAGCATCCTCAAAAGTAACATTTCGCAAGTACAGAATCTCTAGCTCCTTATCCGTTGTGTTAACACCTGCCGTCTACAGGGAAAAAAAACACACACATATAGAAAGAGGGAAAACAGAGAATAAGCCACATTCCCAGCAAGTGTGAGGACACCACAGGCAAATTTTAAAAGCAGATTAAGGTGGTTCTTTTTTTTTTATTTTTTTTTCCAATGGCCCATCTTCCACATTTATTTATTCATTCCCCTCTGCAACCTGTAGTCAAAAACAAACAAAAAAAAAAAGTTCCCTTCACCAGGTTCTTACTCTGTCCCACTAAAGAAGCATGCAAGCAAAAGCATCCAAATGAAAAATTGCCCCCACAATATGACTGACTTTGGGTTAGTAGGATGAGTACAGGGGTGGGGAAAGAAAGGAGGAAAGAGGAGAGAGAGGAAAGACAGTAAGAAAGGATAAAGGAGGGGAGATGTAGTGGGGAAAGATTCAAGTGCTGATCAGAGGAATATACAAACATTTTGGTTCATGAGTTCATCTCAGAGCCATATGTTGATTACACAGCCCTCGATACTGCAGTATAACTCCTGTTAAGAACTTTCCTGCAGTGGCACTGTACAACACAGCAGCCAAACTCTCCAGGCTGGAGTCAAAACCCAGAGCCCAGGAGACTGCTGTTGTTCTTTAGTTAACATGTTTGCTTGCACGAGCCAATGTTGATATTTATTTCTCCATTACTTCTCCAAGGGACAGAACTGATTATATCAGTTTTACGGGTGAAAAACTTGAAACAGCTTGGTTTTTCAGAGCTTTGAACGTCAGAGGTCATTAACATGCAATTCTGTTATCAGCACTCAATTGTAAGGAAGGGAAAGGAACTGAAGTATGAAGAGTTGATAGCAAAATTTGACAGTCATTTTATTGTGGGAATTTTTCCATGGCAATTGCTGTATAGGCGTTACATTCTTGTAAAAAAAAATTAGCAAGGAAATAAGATAAAGCCATTCAGCGTCAGTTGACAGGGTATAATACAAAATGAATAGTAATTTTAATCACTAGATTCTTAAAAATGTTATAGCTCATTCTTGCAGTTGCCAGGCCCTTGGGACAGAGTCTATGGTTTACCTGGTTTTGGTTTGCGAATGTGGAGCCAAAATGGCTTTTCGGCTATGCCTACGAAATTGTTGGCTCTACACAGATATTCTCCTTCATCTTGTTCTGTCACATTGAACAGATTTAGGTTAGCATCGGCTTCAGCGCTTTTACTGATCCAAGACTGCAGGAATAGACAGAAACCTGAACTTCAGTAAACCAAACAATACCTCCTTCGCACCTACATCAGACAGGATTGACTGTGCACAGCAGGTTTCTTTTCAGCTGTGGCAACATCCCCAGCTCACCCTGTGGCGAGACACCTAACCCAGGACCTAAATGATGAAGAGAAGTTGCATTTGGCCCCCAAAACACGTGCAGATGAACTCCCTTCCCTTCACACATGCGATTTCTTTTCTAAAACAGACCACTTTCCCCCTTCTCCATCTCCTTGGTTTCTCAACAACTCTTCAGACAGGAGCACCAGAGAAAGGGTTTAAGCAGAGATTTGTGTTTGCAACTCAGCCCAGCAAATACTGTTTCAATTATCAGATTCCAAAATAGAATTTGGAAACAAAATATAAGCAGTGGCGGTCTGAAACTCGCTGCTGACTTTGCCTTTCAGAAATTAGCTGTAATTTTTTCCACTGCTTATAGGAGCCTCTTCTTTACTAAATAAAGTGGTGCATATAAATCAAACGAAGTTCAGACTCTTAAGCAAGGGGTTTATTTATCTTCTTCCATGCTGCCACAACAGCACATCAGTTTTTTCCCTAAACACTAAACAGTTGTTTTTATTTTGGCTGAAAATGCACAACTGTTTTAAGTGGCCTCAGAAGAAGCTTCAGTTCTGGAAATGAAAATAAAACAATTCTCTTCTCAGTTTTGGTCTTATGCTCTCCAACTTAGTCTTGATGCCTTCCATTTCAAGGCCTGATCCTGCCAATATGACTTGCAGCCCATTAAAATCATCAGAGCAGCCAGCTCTGATAGGTTATTAACTGAACCCAGAGGAGGCACCAGGAGAGCCCCAGTGTCCATGTCTGATGACAAACACCACTGTTTTTGACCTGATCTCATCTCTAAGGCTTAAGTGCTGGCAAGTTTGTCTGCCCTCACTAGTGGGGAAACGTGCCTGCCTGCTGTTGCTGCCTTGTTTATAATTAAACTGGGCATGTTTCAATGCAGAACGTACAATTTAGCCTTTGACAAAGCTTGGGCACAGTGTTGCCAGCACCCCCTGTAACTGGAATGCATTTAGTGCTCTTCTGCAAAGAAAAAGGGTTTTTCTTTGATCACGAATTAGCCCAGGCTTTCAGGAACTGATGCAGGTGATGGCTTGGTTTTGTCAAGCTGTTTAAAAAATGGGTTGAAAGTACAGCATTCAACTTATCCATCTGGACTGGTGTGGGGTTTTACCCCCCCCCCCCTTTAGATGGGGGTGGGGGGAAATTTCATGTGCTAGGCACCACTCTGTCCCCCTCATGTGATGGAGACTGGGATATTCCCCGTACATAAACTGCCCCATAGCAGCTCCTACACTCCACAAAATCTCCTAAAGGCAGAAGGGAAGGGCAGGCTGATAAAAAATCCCTTATCTCCCTGCAGGCAGCACAGCACGGGGCAGGAGAGAGCCCCAAGATGACAGTGAGATCATTTTATCAGATATTTATTTATAAAAAACAAGCACACATACATTTAAAAAAAAAAAAATCCCTGCAAAGCTGGGCCTGACACAGCTCTGTGGAGGCCCAGTGCTGGCACACAAAAGATGCATCCCAAAATGGAAATGCTCCGTGCCCCAGTGCTGATGCCGGCATTAATACAATTCAAAGCATTCCTGATTAACCAGAAGTAGTAAATAGACGTGTGCTGGTCCTATTCAGCAAAAAACATAAAACCAAACAAAACTCGTGCTTTCAAACGCCTGCCTGTGCTCCCCTTCGAGGAATGCGGAGCCTTTGCCGTTCACAGAAGAGAAGGTATTTGGCAATTCTAATTACCTAGCCACCCCGGTGCCGCTCCAGCTTAATTTTAAAACACTATTTAATACGGACTATTTATATGTTCTTTGCCACAGCAAAATGGGAGCTTGTGCTTGTGACACAAGGCACTGTTCGCAGCGGCTCTGCAAACTTCCAAAAGGTAGCACTTTTTATCCCACGGGGAGACCACACACAGAGCTCGGAGACTATACGAGATGGCATGTGACACAACCAGCTATTCAGAGCTTGGTACTGGGCTGTGAAACCAGGGGGAAATTCAAATATGCATAATTCAAACACATTTGGAGAGATGGCGAGAAATAAAAAGTTTTATCAACTTGTGAGAAGCACATGTTGCCAGTCCTGAAGAACTGTCTCCAACCATTTCTTCCAACCAATCTGTTATTTCAATCTGTGTAATTATTTCCAGGGTCTCTGGCTTTTATTATCATGTATCTGGCTGAGTTACAGTTTTGTAGATACTGTCTGATAAGTGTTTGTTTTTTTTTTTAAACTTCATACAAAGAGAAGAAGGGTGTGTGCAGCAGGATGAGCATGGGGAATGTCCACACACAGGACAACCTCAGCTTGAAGCTGCAGAGATAAAATCTGCATTCAGCATGAACCTCAGAGTCAGAAAAACTCCATTTTGCCCTATATTTTTTAACAAACACCAACACATGATGTCCTTAATTATTTAAAAAGAAAACGGATTTTTGAGGTCTCATGTCTTTTCAACTCTCTATTCCCTACTTCTTATATTTATATTGGTTGAGGAGAACCAGACCCTCTGGCTTTGTTCTAGCTGTAATCTGCAAGTTCCCTTTCAAGAAAGCATTTCAGTAAAGTCTTACTATGTGAGTTTTTATTCAATTAAAAAAAAAAAGTTTTCCTGAGCACGGATAAGAGCAACGTTCACAAATGTTAGTGGGTGGACCAAGACTATCTTGGCTCTCAGGTGCTGGTTGTTCAGCATTATTTAGTATGTGCATGTTGCAGTACGTTTATTTGGAAAAGGAAGAATGTGTTTTAGTTGGGAGACTTTTATTTTAACAAGCCCTGAAAATACCTCTATTGAAGCTGTAAAAAAAGGTTATTTTTACAATTTTAGGTCAAGTGCAATCTGACAGCTCCTTTATTATGCTGCATTTCTCACAATTACCTCAGCTCTTTCAACTACTTTGCTTATCTCTGCCACTACAGTAGTAGTGTTATCTCTGGCAAACAGAAGAGTTTGGAACATTGATTTTAGGACACTTTTGCTGTATTCCCTCCAAAATGCAGAGTGTTCCACGGTGCAGACTTACAGAAGGACTGCCCTGAGGGCGAGAAGAAGGAGCATGTACCAACCTTCAGCACCGTGACATATGGGGTCCCATCGGGTCCATACTTGCTGCCATTGACTTCCACGTGTTTCAGCCACTGGATATGAGGCTGGGCATCACTGTAGACCTTGCAGTGAAACTCCACATTGCTCCCTACCACCACGGTCTGGTTGGCAGGGAGCCCTGCTTGCAGGATGGGTCGGTGGGGTGACCTTTCTGAAAAACAGAAAAGAGAAGAAATCCTTCTACTTGTCCTTCTTCCAGCCAGTATTCTCCTCTGAAACCTCTATCTGCTGGCTTTTCAGCAGAAAGGGTGCAAAAAAGTTTTGTCCCCCACAGGTGTCCTGACCACCACCCTACCCAGTGCTTCTCAAGCCAAACAGAGAAGAACCACCAGGGAACAGAAGAGGCACTTCAGCCCTGCCATTCCTTTTCTGGCCCCTCTGTAGACTGGCTAAGTAATTTACTGATCACAGTTCTGAGCCTGAATTATTGGCCAAAAAGAAGTTTGTTGTTGCTTTTAGAAGACACATGATCCAGCACCTTGGGAAAGAAACTAAGCTCCTGCTTCTCATACCCTATCGTGAAGCTATTCGACACCACCACCACAGATCAGCTGTAGAGAGAAAACAGTGAAATCTCACCTAATACATCAAGCTGGTACGTGTGCCTAATGCTTCCATATTTGTTCTCCACAACACAGGTGTAATTCCCTCGATCTGACGGCACAACACTCTCCATCACCAGGCTCCACTGCTGGTGTCGCAACTAGAAAAAAACAAACCATCAAGTTCGTGGTCAAGCACCCTCATCATCAGACCATTCAAACCAGTGAACAATCAGTGGGCTCCTACATACTTGGCCAGCATGAATGGACTCCAGAGTAGGCCTGAACATCACAAGGACCCATTACAAGGGTCATTAAAGTCTGAGAAAAGGCATTAAGACCAATGTAAAAATGATGCAACAGAAGGTAACACACTGAGATTTCAATGGGGACTTCTACGTGCTTCCACAATAACCACAATAATGAAACCAGCTGACAGCTGAACATGGCACCTCTCATTAGAATAATGACTTCAGAAGGTATCAGGTAAGATAACTCCAATCTGCTGGTCCCCTCTGCCACTCTGGTCCAGAGGCTCTGTCAGCTCAAAACATTGTACTCTCAGTGTAGACCTTTACCAACTGCTACATATAATCCATAAGAAGACTATAAACAATAAAATCATACTTCTCACCCCACTTATAATATATTTTAAAATGTGTGTGTTATAGAGGCAACAGGTCACTGCATCTGTCTGAACAGAAATGGATGTCTATAACCGAGTCAGTCCCCTAAATTCCCTATAAGAAACAGGAGAAAACATGTCCAGCCTCAAGTCTGGTCCCTAGGATGCTTGGTCAGCCCTTCTATTTTGGCACAGAGTTCTATACTAGCTGGTTTTCTGGATGTGGCTCATGTTAAGAAGGGTTGTTCAGTAGCAGAAGGGAAAGCACAACCCATGTCTCCACCTTGACCTGCTGCCCTGTGATCTCAGCTAGAATGTTTGTCTCTAATGACTACGAAGGAAATAACGGATACGGAAAGCAAATCTTGAATTAATACAGAAAGCAACCAACAGTAACAAAGATGACTTCAGGGGGCATAGTGTATGAAAGCTCTCCAAATCTCTGGATATTAATTTGATGCCTTCTGCCGCCCAAAGCAGAACATTTAACTTTATTAAATGTTTTGAAGGTGACCCCAAGGACACAGAAGCAGGAGATTACAATAGCACTGTGCTATAGTATGTCAAGGGCTGATGGAAAAAACAAGGGTGTAATTGCTCCTGGAGGTTTCTTGCTGCAGCAGGTGAACTCAAATATGAAGTCATTTAACCTCTTGTGCTACACATAAATTGCATCCACATGCTTCCCTTTAAAGGGCCAAGTTGCAATCAAAGCCAGAATTCTGCAAAGAGAAGGTTTAAAATCATAGGACTAGACAGCTTAAGTTGCAAGATGCGCAAGCAAAAGTCATTTTAAGAAAGCTCTGTAGATCTCTGCATCCCTGAAAACAGCACTGCTGAGCACCCCACTTTTCAGAGACCACTGAATATAGCATTTCCTTTCATTTCAGGCTATATGTAACAGGAGGCTGGGGCTAAACAGTCTGTACACACATCTCAGCTGTGGCAGATCTCTGGTCAGGTCTGACTGCACCTCTGCCCACCCAGGGCAGCACAAATGGAAGAGCTCAGCGCAGAACCAACATTACACCTTTTGTAGAGCAACATCCCATTTGCTGCATCTCTGTAACTGTGTGGTAATTACAGGGTAAGAGAAGCTCTGAGAACAGGGAGCCTGGACCCCAAGTTCACAGCTGAACATACCAGACTGTCTCAGAAGTTTCAATGCAAATTTGTGGCTGTTCAGTGGCTCATTTCCATACTGGCTTGTCTCATAGTTGTGTCTAAAGGCCTCTTTTAATCCACTTTTCAGCATTGCAAAGTGTTTGCATGTTGAACCCCTAGGAGCTACTTCAAGGAAATGGGGCTCCAGACACATGGATGACTCCCTAGTCGGACCTGTATTATAAAATCAGGTCCAAATTAGTTGTTTTACTAAGGATGAACTTATATGACACTTTCAAAGAACTTCCTCGGGTTTGTGATGGGAACTTTGGACTCCGAACAGAGAGAAGAATCTGGGGGCACAGACTTACAGGGTAGAACTTGTTTGAAAACCCTTTGAGAAGCAACAAATTTGTTTTTTTAAGGTTGAGACTGACAGATTTAAAGGATAATAAAATGGGATGTTCCCAAGTTAGAATAGTCACTGCACTCGAAAGAATACTAGAAACATGAAGTGACTTAGTGTAGGCATTAATCAAGTGGGTGAGATACTGGAAATCCCTCTGGTTTATTTGGTGTTGTCATTCTTGGCTCCTTGTGAAACAAACATTTGCAGACACACTTGGAACCTTGTGTTTGCCAGACTGGTATGCAAGTCAGTGCAATGGTCTGGGGAAGGGATAATCCTCCATCTCCCCTCCCCCTCAATCTTCCCTTCTAGGGTCATTTAACACACACAGGCTTATGATATTAGAGATTCCAACAAGGATTTAACCATTAATGCTCTTTGGGAAATTTCATATGATAAGTCATATGAATTTCTTTACCAGTTAAGGATGAACTGTAACAAAACTAGGTTAGCCTGCCCTTCATGTTTTCAACACTCAGCCTTCTCTCTTGCAGGCTTTACGCCCAGCAGTCACACAGGGTCTAAATGCCATGTGCAAGCATCAGATGTGGAAGAGTGGTCAGCTTTCATTTGCTGACAACAGACTTCTCACAATCAACATTTAAACTCTTCCATGGACTGAAAACAAATGAGAACATTCCCAGCTCAGGGATTTCTGGGTTAAGACCAGACCTCGAGATGAAGTAAGCCAACCAAACTCTGCCAGATCTGGATCTTGCCCATTCTTTTCAAGCTGCCTAATCCTGTTATGAAGTTAAGTTGTAACAGGGAATTTAAATCTTAAATACATGAGATACCGAGCAGGTTTTCAATCTCCTTTTCTGGTTCAAATCTCAGCTGATACCTATCAGTATATTTATACTGGATGAGATTTATACTAGACTACTTACACCTAACTGTGGCCCATGAGCAAAAGCAAGCAAATAAAGGAAGGAAAATTACAGAGAGAGAGAGATGTCTTTATATCAAGAATGGGACAAAGAACTACACCTAGACAGATAGAGAGCTTAAACCAATCTTCCTGTAATTGGCCTGACATTGCCTTCAAAAGCTCTTTTAAGCATTGGCTTGTTGCTGGAAGGTGTCCCTAGAGACACAAAGTACAGCGATGCCAAAGACTCACTACCATGTTGCAGAGGATTAAACGTGTCAATTTAAACTCAAAGATAGATTAAAACTCCTGGAAAGTGGGTAGGGGAATTGCTTTCAGCTTTAGATTTTATTCTGCAAGCATAATTTAGTGCAGCTGATGTCACATAGTTTAGTGAGAAGCCGTTGGAGCGGCGCACGCAAGCCTGAAAACACTTCATGATGATCCTTACAGCCTGCAATTAGTAAAAGATGCTTGTGCTTTGTGAATGTCATCTGCCGAAAAGCAGTTTACCCACAGGAGCTGACTCCCCACTTCTTTTTCCTCCATAACTTTTCAGAAGATCCAAACCTGAGCATGCGCTCAGCCTCATCCCGGTTGGAGTAGGGACAGGACTGAGAAGGGAGCTTCAAAGCCTTCACTGAAGCAATCACAAAAGGCTCTTTCAGGAACAGGTCTGAGCTAACAGGAAAGAAACAGCCCAAAACTGTGGGGAGGGAGGGCTTTTTTGAATCCTTCTCTGGTTTCTGGAGCACGGCACGCTTTGCGTGCCTGGTGCCCCTTCAAAACACTACGGATGTGGCAGGCATCAGCACATAGCTATTCCAAGTACTGATGAAAGTGCTTTCCTACAAGTCACCTTCTCTCCTGAGCGGCAGCCCAGGGATATGTCAGGGCTGGTACAGTGCAAACAAAAATTCTTGCTTAGGAGTCCCTCCTGCTATGATGATTTTGTTATAATCAGCTACTGCCAGTTTTGTTCTCCCCAAATAAAACAAAAAAAGAGTAAAATAGTCTTACTGTCACCTTAAGTAATAACAACAACAACAAAATCAGAGAAAAGCTGATTTTCCTTTTAAAATCCTGCCATAATTCATCATATACAGTAGCACAGAAACTTATGGCTAATTAAATAGTTCGACTGCATTAAGGTTTAGTGTCCCTGAGCTCCATCTATAAACATGAGCCAGAGTATTTTCCAGAACACCTCATGGTAGAAAGGCAGGAGGGAGCAGCCAAGGAGCAGATGCTATTACTCTGGCTACAAGGGAATCCAACACTTGACCAAGGGTCAGTGATTTATACCACAAAAATGTTAATGACTACCAGCATGAGTGTCCAGCTCTTTGGTGAGGTCCTTCCTATACCTTCAGAGGATACTGAATAGCTTTTCCTTGAAAGCTGGGAGTAGCTACAGCTTGGTCTAACACATCTCAATGCACTGGGCTGATCTCCAGAAATTAGGACAGAAGTTTCTGCTCTTGCATTTTTATCATTGTTCACAATGCAACCATATACCCAGCCCCATTTCTACCTACTCCCTGAATGACCACTATAGACAAACTCAGAAGGAATTAGCCTTCAATCTCAAAGGACAGCAGTCCTTTTTAAAACTCTGGTGTCAAGCAATTCCTAAGGGTGCAGAAACCACCCTTGTTTCTACACAGTCAGGACAGTGCTCTTACACCCACCAACGTTAATCGCTGCGAAATACAATTTTATAGTTGGTAGAAAACTACTAACAAAAACTGAGATCCAAACCAAGTCCTTACCTTAATGCCCCCAATCCTATGCTCCCCTTTGAACTCTTTGCCGTTTTTCAGCCAGTAGATGGAAGGAGTTGGGTTTCCACCCGCTGGGCATCGGAAGCGAACGGTGTTGGCGGCGGGAACTGCCAGCAGCTTCTTCTCCATCTTATCTGGCCGGGTCCAGAAGGGGACACCTGAGAAAGGAAAAACCAAGTTGAACAGGCCCCTTTCTGCCACAGAGGATATCAGCTGGTGAGCAGATGCATTTGAGGAGGATTTGGCATGTGTGGAGTGACAGTTAAATTGCTACCTGCTGCAGTCAAGATAAATGACACAGAAACGCTTTCCAGCTAAATGACTCTCATAGACGTAGACAGGGTGTTTGCATTTTGGCTTTGTGATGAAAGGTTCATGACCAGGTTCTTGTCTTGGTAATGCCAGTATAAATCTAAAGTGGCTGCTTTTAAATCAACAAGTAGAGTTATCCCAGATCAGGATGAGAACCTGGCTTCAGCATGTAAAAAGATACAGACAATAGTAGCCAAGAAGCATAAACAGCAGAAAGATGTTAGAACTGTAAAAGAATGCTGATGGGCCAGCAAGGGAGCAGAGAAAAAGTGTGAGCTGAGTGCACTGGAAAATGTTCCTCCTCAGTGAGTACAAACGTAGTGTAGCCTCCTTAAGGGAAGGAAAGAAAAAAACGCGCCAGCGCCAAACTGGTTTATCATGTTTATGTTCTGTAAGTACGAGTGATTTTAGTTTTAAAGATTCATGTTACCTTTGAACAGGGATAAGTTTTAAAACACCAGTGTTAGCATGAGATACCTTTTATAATCTGCCTCAAGTACAGCTACGTTCCTTGGCTGTGTTACAAACATTACATATTAACTCCAAATTAAGGCAGCAGCAGCAGCAAACTCATTATACTTAAAAGAAAGAAAAAGTTTTTTAAAAAAGCCTCCTGAGCTTTCATTTCTGCTAAAGGAAACACTGCAGAGCTGTACATACTGTGTTTCTCCTGCCACACTGGGGCCACATCTAGCCCCCCAGGTCTGTGCTCCACGCTGAGGCCAAAGGGAGATGGGGGCAATGTGTTTGGCAGTGGGGGGGCAGTGTTTGGGCTATAAAGGAGGCAAAAAGGAGGCCAAGGAGGGTAAATGGCATCTCCTCCAGATGTGCAGGAAGTGCTCAGACATGGAGCACCCAAACCCACCAGTTGCAGAGACTTGTGTGCTTCTGGCCAAGACAAACTGAAGGTGCTGGCCCTTCAAGAATTGTCTTGGAGAACACAATGGCTGCCAAGGCTGTTGGGAAAGCATCACTGCTGGTCTCTCCTGCAGCAGTGACGATGCTCAGGATCATCACCATCCAGCATCACAGCCCCATCTCAGCGCTACTCTGAAGCCTCTGTAATCCCCTTCCCCTTAATGACAACTGTGTACAAAGTTGTACCTCTTGCTGAATGCCTTTGAGATGCACAGGAGCTCTCTCCTTTCTCCAGCACTCCCCAGGTGCACTTAGCCCTAATGCATCTGGCTCCATGACACACATTTTGTTGCAATTCCAGGTAAGTCAGTGATGACTTGGTTTAAGTCCCCAGTGTCCCCCACACAGGCTCCCTGCTGCATTCCAGCTCCAGGGATATTGCAGGCAAGGTCATAAAGCTCAGCCAGGGCAATCTGTGCACCCACCTATTTTTAGCACCTACTAACACTCTCCTCGTGGTCCTCTGTCCTTGCAAAGCCCACCTGACCATGATGATCTGGATGTCAGGAGCTACATCCAGAAGGCCCTCCATTTGCTAGAGACATCGCTCTCATGGTTTATCTGCTTTCACACCTCTGCAACTGGATGTAGGTACCTCAGTAACGCTGTCCCAGGGAGGGAAATCCAGTACTGAGGGTTTGCATCTGCCCTCAGCCTCCCTTGCACAATGCTCTGTGATGCCTATCAGAGTCAGCCCCATGTATCAGAGGGATCTGTGCTCACCCATCCCGCGTACGCGCCTCATTTTTTAAACAACGAAACTGCTTAAGGGCCCTTTTCTTGCCAGGATGGCACCGGATATGGCAGGGGAACGGCTGGCACAGGCAGCAACAAAAGGAGGAATCCCCGCAATTCCCATGCTCCTGCAAAATCCCAGCTAAAAACTTCGCTCTGAACACATGACACATCCAGGGGGGGCCTCAAATACTACGTGAAAATGTGGGCTAAACTGGGACATCAGGTAGACATCTACCATTCCAAATGGTAGAACTGAACAAAAATGGGGAATATCCTCAAAAAATGTTAGAAGAGTGTGTGCAATCCCTGAAGAAAGAGCAGGTCTTGATGGTAAAATGCTTTTGCTATCAGATGAACTGGAAAGGGCAGAAACCAAGCAAAGGCTGGGCAAAACCCCAGGCAGCAGCAGGGGAGTAAATGTGGAGGAGGACACTTGGGGTGGTGTTGTGAAGGCTGAAGAGGAGGGAGCTCCAGAAACCACGTTGGGAGATGTCTGGTCTCTGGTTTCTGAAGCATGGGCTGTTTTCTGTCCGAACGCTTCCTTTTGGAGATGCACCCCGATTTCCTGGGGACTTCACAGGGCTACAGGGGAGAGTTATGGGAAAGGCCAGGCACAGATGGAAAAGTCCCCCTTTGCTACCACTAAGGAGGGCAGACAAATAACCTGCTGTTTGTTGTCTGATTAACATATCTGCCTACAATAAATTCCATTTTATGGTGCCCGTGACACTCACTGGGCACTGGGGTGTAACTGGATCGCATGGTCACCCTGCCAGGACCAGGGGCCTCCTTGTGCTGTGCTTTTTGGGATCCTTACCCTTTCCACACCAGCTGTGTGTGCTGCAGGGTGATGTTTTACCCCATTTTCTCACTCAAAAGATGAGTTTGAATCCCACAGGAGACCCATCAACTCACTGGCTGCAAATGCTGTCGCTGAAGCCAAGGGAGATTTTGCTATCAGACATCAGAGACAAGCAAGAAGGAGCCCAGGAAAGTTTCCAGCTGGGGATATTCTCCATATGGAGCAAAGGCAGGACTCGCTCCTGCCTCCTGCAATTAGACACAGCTTCTTCCCTGAGTGCTTTCCCTTCGTTTGGGTGCTCTTCTGTGAGACTCAGGGCTTGCCAGTGTGCCAAGACTCAAACAGGGCACCGCTCTCCAGTCAAACTGGAACTGGAAGAAAGCGTCTACACATTGAAAACAGTGCCTTTGTTCTCACTTGCCGGAGCAGCGAACAAAACATCCCTGCTTTTGGTTTGCTCTGCCCCCTGAGTCCTTTCATTACCACTTTTTAAGGGGCTGAAAATGTTGCTAACTCTTCTTTTCAAGCAAAGCTTGCAAAGCTCCAGAGACTTTTGGGAGCGGGAAAGGAGGAAGGATGAAAGACAGGAAAAATTTCTAGACCTGCTCTCTCTAAATTAATTACCGGCAATGGTTTTGCATGTGCAGGTGTGAAAAAAAAAAAAAGGGACCCACAAACATTATCACAGGCCCTTTCCCATCATCAAACACTAAGCCTGATGGTCCATTTTGTTTGTCAAAGACACCGGCCACCCATCCAACTGGAATGACCAATTAAAAAAAACTGAGAGCGATACTTGGAATAATTAATACAACCGAGCGCTCATTTAGCAATTAGGAGCTGCCACCAAATTCTGTGGCAGGCAGAATCAACCCTAATTGTGTAATTTCCCCAGCTGACGCCTCCTAGGACACAGCCAGATTTAATTGGAGATTATAGGGGCTCTTTGAAGGTGCTGGGGCTGCGCAGTGGGGGCTCCAAACAAACAGATACAGAGGGGTAGGGAGCACTGGGGCAGAAGTGCAGCGTGTGAAAAGGGAGTTTTGTTTTTGTTTCAGGGCCAGGAAAAACAGCTGTAGAGAACAGACGTATTGGAAAGCCTCTTTTTGCAAAGGCGGATCATGGTTTGTGACAAGGTTGCAACAAACAGGCTGATGATTTGAAGGCGCTGAAGTTCCTCCTTATACTTTTCTGCTGCTCATCCCTAAGGGATGCCCTGTTTCTGTACTGCCCTTCAGAGAGGAAGCCTGAAGGACGGTGAGCAGAGCAGGCCACTCCATGTGGAGGGCCTGTCTCCATGCTCTCCAAGACTTTTTTGAACCAAATATTAACTTCTTTTAGGACAAATTTCCTCTCATCCTCTTGCTTTAGTATTTCCAGCTCATCAAAACCCTAAAACTAGTAAGATTGGCTTCAAACTCATGACGCTATGGGAATCAGGTTTCCAAGCTCTCCATTATATGAGGATAAGAAACTCTCTCGAGTAACACAATTAAGACAGAAAAGTAACTTATCATCACAAGGGGCAGGACACAATCATTTTATTCAGTGATGTACTGTATGGCAACATCCAGTGAGCCAGTCCTGGATGAATTAACTACCCCTAAGTACGAAACACTATCAGTTATATAGACTAGATGATCTTTAAGGTCTCTTCCAACCCTGACCATCCTATGTTTCTATGGTATTTTTCTTTTGCATGAAAGTGTCTTTGTTGCCTTTCCTCCTCCAGCTACTGACCGGCTATGTCTGATGGCCATGCAGGGGCTCATACACCCCATTAGTAGGGCACATTTTGCCACAGGAGATGAAGGACCCAGGCCTTTGGGCTCTCCAGAGGAGATGGCACTGGCTACATTGTGACTGCCTGCCTGGGATGGTCCTGCAGCCCCTATTCCTGGCGGGATGTCCCAGCAGTGGTGGTACCAGGGCTAACAGCATGGCTCCCCAGATTCAAGAGATCTGCGAAGGTCAGATGGAGGATCTGATGTCAAAGAAAGCAACATAAAGTACATCCACGTCACAAAATGCCATGAGGTTTCACCACACAGACACGTTAAGCTAACCAACCATTTTTAAAGCAGAAGAGAATCCCACTTTTTACAATGAGACCCTTCAGGAAAGCCAGCCATCAGGTCTAAAAAAAGAGACAGCCCGAAGTCAAGAAGACCCAGAAAACAGGCTATAAATACATGCGGAGAAACGTGTGTTTTCCTTTTCAGTGAAGAAAAACGTCTTTCTGTACCATAAACCAGCTGATGTTTTGTGATACCTGTTGCTAAGAGATCGAGTTCTCTACAAACCACATAAAAAAAAATGTACTGAACGATTAGTTGTGCTCATCAGAAGCTGCTCTGCAGCAGGAACAAATCCTGACCAAACCAGACCTTCCCTCTGCCTATACCATGTTTCAAGCAGGCACCAGGAGCCCTGAGCAGCTCTGCAAAGGTGCTTGTCACCTCCTAGGGTCCGGTCCTTAATTAGAAGCTATCAGAAAACCACTAACTGCTGCTGATGGGTCTCCTGGCACTGTAACTTACCATTACTGCCCACATACTGTATGACAGCGCTATGAACTTATTACGTTTGAAAGAGTCCTGCATGTCCAACACTATGGGCAGGAGAGATTTTCCAGTCGTGTTGAACTTCTGCCAGTGTACGTAGCTGATTAGGAGTTCAAATACAAGACATTTATTTATTAAAAACACATACACCCAGGCAGCTCACTTTGCAGAAATACAAAGAGCAGAATAAAACGCAACGCTAATGCCTCTGAAGCATGTAATGATCCTGATTAATGCTACTGCACTTAAAGAAACCAGCACTAGGACTGAAAGAGATTCAGAGTAAAAGCACTGAGAGGCTCTGTCCTGGGACTCCTTTCTCCACATGAGAAAAAAGAAAAAGCCAGTAAATCCAAAGGGGTTGCTCTCACTTACGGCATCAGTAAATTTGGCCCTTGGTTAGTGTAAATTTTATGCTCTGATTCCAGCCAAGATGCTGGTAAGGACCAGAATCGGAACAGTTAAAAGTAAAGCAGTCCAAGGTTTGAAATGGTACAACACTCGTGTAATGTCAGTGTAGTAAAAAAAAAATAAATATGGTAAATGGGTTCGTCTGGATTTGCATGCAAGGAGGATTTATAACTACTCATCAATTCAGATTTGCAGCACTGAGTCTCCAAAATACACAACTGCTGCTGCAGGATTCCACAGCAGCTATACCACTCTGGCAGCTATTTCTAAATTTTTAGATAAACATCATCATGGTACCACCCTAAGGTCACTGACTTCAACACAAAGAACGAGCTGCTGTCCATCCACATGAACATCCAGATGAGCTGCACCACTTGGGAGCCACATCCCCTTGAAAGAAAAGGCCTCTGTACCCCAGAAAAACAAATTACCTGTATCTTCTGACTCATCGTCGTCATCTTCATCATCACCCGACGAAGGAGAATCTGGGAGAACACAGAAAAAGAAGTGAAGCAGAAAGAGGATGGTATGTGGGGACATCATGCTGGATGAGGCTGTTGGTGTCATGGTGGGTTCCAGCAAGGGAGGACAATCAACCGATGGGTCACCCTTCCCTGCAGCTCCACCAGCCTATCCCTCTGATGCTGCTGGGCCAGGGACAACTAGCCAGGAGCTTTCTGAACTGGGAGAGAGGTGTCATGAGTTTGCCAGTGCTCTGCAACCAGAAACTGGGGTCCCATGCCAAATACTTCTTCCTGTGTGAAATGCTCTTTTCCTAATAAATACAAAAGATATTCCAAAATGGAAAGTTTCTTTTCGCAGAACAAGCTGTCTGACTGCTTTTTTTTTTCCCCCTCTAGCATTCGCTCTGAAGACTTTTTATTTGAGCCATGTCTCAGAGCTACAGGTCAGCATTTCTAATTCACTTTCCCTGCATTTTTCTTTTAACTCAATATACCCCTGCCATGTCTCCTTTCATTAACTCCTTGTTCAACCACTAAGAAAGACCAAAGCTTTTGAACTTCTCCATTGACATTTTGATGGCTACTCTGTGAACCAGTTCCCTTGGGTTGTATTCCTCCCACAGAGGCACCTTGAGGCTGTAACTGAATACAGGTTAACAGGTGGGAATTTTCCATCTGTATCTTTCCAAAACATCCTGAACTATTTCTTTTAATGTGGTCTAATACCTCACCTTCTCCAAGCTGTCCACAATAAAGTTTCAGTCCCTCTTCCCTTCACCAAATGACTACTGTAAATGTAAATCCCATTATCAAATAGCAGCTTAGTGTTTGATTTAGTCTACACTATTTAGTACAGTTCAGTACTGCACTCAGTCTTGAAGATTTAACATCACTGACTTTCTATAATCTCCAGGAATTTCTCTTTTAAATAAAGGCAAAATGCTATCAACCCAGCAGCCTTTATATTCTGAGACAGTGGCAAAAGAACTTGGCCTTAAACACTAGAAAACAGGAAACTTTCTGAGTGTTCAACACGTGTCCAGAAATGCAAAGCAGTACTTTAGATCAAGCCAGGCAGAACATCCTTTATTTTGAGATGCACTTGAGTTTTCTGCTGTTCTCCGACCAGCTCGGTGGAGGTGAAAATGCAAAGGCAAAAAAAAAAGGGGGGGGAGGTGAGGGAAGAGGAGGGGGAAAAAAAGAAGGAAAGGCAACAACAAATACTTTTCCTCTGCAGAATCTGGAAGGACCTATATTCACCATCCATAGAATCAAGTAACACAGGAGCCATCTCCCTGCCTTAGACTGCAGGGGCGCATTGTGCTTTCCACCTTCTCTTTGGCAGAGTCTCAAAGACGACTTCAAGCACGTATCTTAACTGCAAATCCACAGTTGAGGTCCTGCTGGCAGCAGAACTAGGGAAATGCCATGGGGCTTGCTGAAAGTGAAGTGGATGTTTAGGTGTTTCGGCTGATCCAGCAGGTTTACTCAAGTCCTGGCGAAGGCAGACACTGAGCCAAATCCCCACCAGCACTGACAGAGAAACCAGCACGTTCTCAGCTCTGCACTCTCAGATTTGGTTACCCATATATTAACATGTGATTAAAGTTCGCTTCTGCTTTCCAATGAATGCATCAGGACCAGGGAGTAGAAGCAATTTTTAAACTAACTCAAAAACATTTTCACAAGGTTGAGAAAAGTCTTTGCCCTTGCTTGTGTTTAAGATAAGAGGTGCAGCTTAAATTTTAAGACCAAATATCCCATGTTCATAGCTACTGTCCTATTCAGGTTACTGTAACATCACCTTTTTCAAAAGGTGACTAAAAATTATAAACTGTTTATGATTTACTTAAATCATAAGCAATCTTTTGCAGAAATTGTCAAGTATTGGCATCAGCAAGAACTGTTAGATTATATTCTCAAAAAGGCCTTAATTATGAATGGAAAGAGGCTTAATTTGTTTAGTCACCTGTTTTGTAATGTTTAGCCTTGGGTATTTTGAAAGCTCTGTTGGCTGGTACCAGCCTGCAGTCCTTGCTCATCACAGGGATGCTGCTTGGTCACTAAATCCAAAGGCTGTTCTGTGCATGAAATGTTTGTAGAAATAGAGCTTCTGCCAACAGGGCTGGAGATCAGTTTGGGCATGCAGCCTCTACTTGTGATCCTCTCCAAGTGCTCAGGTTTTAAGGGGACAGTACGTTTACTTTTGTAAACTAGCAAAACACTCAAGCCCTTGTCTGTCAAGAGAGGCATTTTAAAGAGACCAGAAAATTTAAAGAGATTAATCAACCTGGTTCTCAGCCCTGAAATGCCAGCTCCAGCATCTCCTTGCTCTACTTCCAGCATCAAGCATCTCACTGTGCACAATGCAGAACAGTCAATCTGTTGCAGACTCAGATCTCATGGTTCTGTGTTGAAAATCCTTGGATGCCCCTGAAATCTGGAAGCATCTCTGAAAATGGAACTTACGTGTAGATTGGCTATTCCAAACTCACCTAACCTAGTTTCACTCACTTAAGAAAACAGATTAGAGCAATTCCAGTCTGTTAGTACAGATTTAAACCACTTTAACATAGAGAACAACTCCAGCCCCAAACATCAGGTATCCACATAAACACCTGACCAGACACCTAAGCTAATTGCCAGTGTTACCTTTAAGAACTGGGAACACAAACCACTGATCTCCGATAACAATCGCAACTCTGTAGTGCCACGCTGAGCAATCAATACTAATTATGAAGAAATATCTGAGCATACGAGAGGCGCCACTATTGCCACAGAAAGCAGGGCTTCAAAGTTTAAAACGAGTGCTGCTGACAGCTAAAACAGAGACTCCCACATTACCAGCACTTTGGTGGTAATGACAGTGGGCTAATAGAATCAAAGACTCATAATGCTGTCAGAAAGCAGGTTCAGGTTACTCTCTAGTTCTTAAGCTGTTATTAGCTATTATTAGCGAAGAGGAAAAATACAGGGGCTTAAACTTTTTAAAAGCAGAGGATTATCAGTCCTTCCACTATTAAAAACAATTTCTCACTTTACGAACTTTTGGGGCTGGCAGCTGTTTCATTTGAGTGTGTAACCAGCTGCCCTCTCCTGCCTCCCTGCTGCCCCTTGAACTCAAAAGCATTTTAATGTCACTTAGAAAAAAACAGAGAGAGCAACATTTCTAACAACCTGCAGTTCCTTGGATAGTTCCAATAATCGTACCTAGTTAAAGAAAGCTTTTCAAGGGCCAAATACTTCTTTAACCATTTAATTGATATGACCTTGAAGCATTCACAGCAATCTCCAGTAACATTCAATGAAAAGCAGATGTTGGTAAAGGCTTGCTGAAACAAGCTTTTATTCTCACGATGGTTTGATTCACTTACACAAAATCCTATTGCTGGCACGAGAAAGCTCTTTATGGAGTGGATGTGATTCACAATCACAAACATCTCTGTGTTTGGTTTTCAGACAGAGACCATTACCTTCTGAGGGAACTCAACTTCTGGAGGAAAGACCTACTATTCAAGGATGCTTGAAAAAGCTCCAGCAGCACAAGGGCATAGGAAAGTTTTCAAAACCTTAGATTCACAAGGGACTAATTCTTCCAAAAACTCAAGGGTTTAATCTGTGTCATCAGAAGGTTTTCTATCTGCTCGCAGATGCAGAGTTTGCAGATGCTGAGTATCCATCTACCAATGCATCAGTCTGAAATCATGGAGATGACCTTAGCTATCTGGAGACAACAGATTTTTCTGGCACTCTCTGTTTAGTGATGCAAGCTTGGGCAGCTTGTAGCTGTTTTGCCCTATTGTCCTGATGACAAAAAATGTGGCCAAGCAAATGACAGCATGTGCTTTGCTAACACAGTACTTGTTTGCAATATATGAATCCCAACAAGTAACTTTGATGAAGTACTTTGAGGTACACACAGTTTACAGATAAGCTACTTCTGAAACAACTAGCAACCTGTGATAACAGAGACGGAGGGCAGAATTTTATCAGCTACAACAGAGAAACAGTTTTCAGGAACTCTGAGTTTTTACATATAATTCTGCCACTGATTTGTCACATAAACTGGAAAATGTCATTTAACCTCCCTGAGCCACAGTTCATTCACTCACAAAAGACTTCAAAGGCATATTGTTGGGGCACATTGCATCTATTTGAGTGTTAGGGGGGATTTTGGGGTTTAATCTGACTAGCCCCGTTTCTAAGTCTCTCTCAGTATTAACATCAAGCTTTAACATTTGGTATGGACACACAAGCATTCTTCAATTGGTTTGTTTTGTCAGTCTAATCACTGTCAGGAGTTACCAGAGAGGTAGAGACCTACAGACAAACGCCACAAATCACCATCTGTGCTGAATACGTGAAAGGGTAAAAATAAAATAAATAAATGAATAAAAAATTAAAAAATCACTGAGACAGCTGTATTTCTGCACATACCTGTAACTCTGACTGTAAAGTTTCCCAGGACTTCGTTGGAATGCCTTGGCTTGCAACTGTACAGCCCTGAGTCATCATATGACACATTGATTATCTTCAACAGTTTTTGTCCAATATGAGTTCTGTTGGTAGGTGAAATCCCAATACCATCTTTAAACCAGAAAACAGACACAGAAGAGCCTTGGGTGTTACAGGAAAGTTCAATGGTATCTCCATTTCCAAACACCAACTCTTCCAGAAAGGCGGTCTCGCTCCTCAAGTATTCTGCAAAGGGAGAAAGAAATGGAAATGAATTAATAAAAGCAAGTACAAAGAGACAGAAAAAGCATTTTAAAAGCAAACATATCTTATATTTGCCCTACTGATGCTTCCACGGGCCCAGACCTTCTCCTTGCCAGAGGTAAGCCTTGCCTGCCCCGGGCAGGTAGCAATGTCAAAGTGGCAACTGTGACACTACAGTCAGGTCTCTGCCTGATCCACAAGGATAGATTTGCCCCTGTAGTGACCAAAACATGGGCACCCCATCAGGTGCATCACAACAAACAGCACAGACCTCTGCACAGGGGTCACCACAACACGCAGGGCTGCGAGGGGGGGTGTGATCTGGCAGAAATAAGTGTGTGTTGACAAGTTCACTCTCTGGATCTCCATTTGTTTCTTCCCGTGAATCCATCCACAAACCCTACGAGACCCAGCAAGGACAGGACACAAGGAACAGGACTGGGGACAAACCAGATTTCTCAGCTGACTTTGGGTGACCCAAAGGCAAGGTCTGTGGGTTGAAGAAAACATGCAGAAGGCTGGACAGAAGATGCAGGCCAGAATAGGTAAAATAAATGAAACCAGCACTAGCTCCCTGGTAAAGTAACTCTCTGTGCAACAAAGTACAGAGCCAAAGACATATTCATAGGCTATAACTCTGCTGTGAAAACAATGCAATTACAGCAGCTATGAATACCTGAGGATGTATTACTGGCTTCAAGCTGCTCTTTTGCCTTGAAGTGAAAGAGTTGGAGCAGGCTATAAGAAAAAAAATGTATTGCTTTTCTTGTCATGCACGTTTTTATTCTTGTGTAAATGTAAAGATTAAAAATATAAAAATGTTTCAGTCGATAGCCTTGCAGGGTAGAAATAAGGAATTCTGGGAGCCTGAAAATGTGGTATTTCATGGGAGGTACCGTCTCGCAGGAGGCAAAGCCCACACTCGTTGGGGTTACAAAGAACCTTTCCTCTGATACCTCAGCAGCAATTCCAACTCAAATATTTCAGGGTTTGGCCAGAATTTTGAGGTATTCATACAGTCAAAGGTTTGAAGTGTTGGTTTTGGGGTTTTTTTCCTTTTAATACAAGATTTTCCCTGAAAGCATATGCTTTTAGTAAATCAAAAAAGAAAACTCAGCTTCATCCAGCATCTCCTTCCTATCAGACCAGCACTCATTGGAACATGGAGTGTTCACCCATGGTCTCTTCCCAACTTGGCTATATCCTTGGGGAAAATATGGTTGAGAAATATTCTGGCTTAACTGTTCAAGTTTTTTTCTTCCTTCCTCTAGACTATACAGATTTTTTCACTGTTACAAATTTTGGCTTCAAATTAAAAAGCCCTGTGTAGAGCTTTATACTTGCAGGACTGGGTACTGATCTAACTTTGTTGACTGATGGAACCTCTTGCTACTTTAATCTACTGGAAAACAAGCCCCACACAGCTGCACAATCCCTCTACACTGAACACACAGTTTTACCAAAGATGTTTGCCAAATGATCAAGACTTGTATATTTTGGCTTTTGTATTATAAACCTACCGAACAGGAACAAGCCCAGACTAAGCACAAGCCAAACTGTACTGCTTAGCCATTTAAAAGCAAATAACTCCAGCAACAAACTATTTTTATAAAATGTATATAGAGAATGCTGAAGTTAAGAGGAAGGTCACTTTAGACTCAGCAGAGGAACTGGGTTCTTAAGCTTCTTCTGCGGAATGAAGCATCATCTCATCTTTCTGACAAGTTTATTTTGGCATCTCTACCCTCAAATCGTCTCAGTTAGTGTCCAGCAGATATTGTGATGCACAGTTTGGTTCTTGTGACTTTATTCCTACTGACCAGAAATAATATATGGGAATATGTAGCGGTGAATTAAAAGGAGAATGGTCTTAATCTCACTTCTCTAAACTGTCTTTCAAATTTCAGTTTATGTGTCTATACCTTAAAAAGTAAACAGGACCTAAATTGGAGACCTCCACAAAGTATTTAAATGTGCACTCAAATGCTTTTAAGCACTTTGCCCAACTGTGACCTTGAAGAACAAAATGTTACTGTCATTCCTTATATAGCTTTCAAATAAGAGATAAATCCAAAAGGGTAGACAGTCTCATTTCCATGCTGAAAACAGCTGGAGTTTAGAGCAGGGAACCAGAGTTCACATCTCTCACAGGGTGCCTGAGACCAGCACCTCCTTCCTGCCTTCCAGCTGGCAAGTGCCTCATGTTTCCAACACCTTTACAACAAGAGACACCAAGACATGAAGGAGCCATGAAGTTGCCCCCTCTGAAGCCAAGTATCCAGCCACAAGGAATTGGGAGGGGACACAGCCAGGAGAGTTGGCCCCAAATGACCCAGGGGATATTCCAGACCATATGATGTCATAAGGCTTAGCAATAAAACTGGGTAATGGAGGTGGAAGGGTATAAATTACCAGGGAGTTAACTCATGTAGGGGTTACAGGAGCCCACTCTGCCACTTGCCAGCAGAGCAGGGACTAACATGTTTGCAGCTTTAATGGGTTCTTTGAGAGAAGGTGGCAGTCTGGGTTGTGGGCTTCCAAGATATGACTAAAATTTGACCATTTATTCATTTAGTCAAGGCAGTAATGAGTTGAGAATCACCAAGAAACGCATCTGATGGAGATCAGCTTTTGCAGCAGCATCACTGCTGCCAGTAGGAAACACACTACAGAAAAGGAGGCGATTTTTAAGCTGTTCAGAAGAGCAAAAAGGCAGGAACCAGCCAGGAAACACCTTCCACAATGAGGAGCAGTTGGCCCAGCAATGCTAAAATGTTTTTGTATGTATTCACTTATAAGGATAAGATACTTCATCTCTGTAGCTGCTTGGCTCATCCCAGCGATAATTCACTTTCTGTGTGGTTCGCAGCTCCAAGTGCTTAAGTGTGTCAGTATTTCCATCAGCTGTCTGCTCCTCTTAGACATCAATACTTGTTCCTGGCTGGAAATGTTTTATTTTTGTTTTAACGCATGCAGCTCTCAAGTTATTTATTTTTCAGGCACGAAAAGACGAGGATGTGGAGGCTGGTGGGCTATTACTGGGCTGCTTATGGTCCCAAAAAACTCCAAGCCAAACTAGGGCCTGGCTGGTGCCCTCCTCAGTGTCAGGGACTGTTTCCAGCTGCTGCTGCAGTACTGCTGCTGGGGACTGCTCCCGGGCAGCAAAGGCCCACAGTGCCTGTGGGAGGGTGAGTGTGGTGAGGGGTCCAATGTCACCTCACAGGGTGCTGAGTCCTGGCTCCAGGACATTCCATCCACTTATTTCCCTTCACCTGTGTTTTTTCCCCCACAACAGCTTCCCGCAATCCTGTTTTTCAAAACACCAAAGTGTTCAGGAGCCTCCCAAGGAACTGCTCTGGTGGGGTGCATGCATCCCCCCATCATCATCCTTTTCTTTCATCCTGCAGCAGTGGAACATTCATCACACAACTAAAATCCCACTGGGACTCCCCTCCACTGCGGGCTTGAGGCACATGACTTTCAGTACCACCAGTAAGAGATTCCTCACAGTACCCTGAACCCTGGCAATCCCCGAGAGGCTTTTCAGGATTGCTTCACAGCCCGGTGCTGGAATGGACTAAGGCTCATTTCTAAGCGGATCATATTTTTCCCTTTTCAAGCTGGACAAGCTGTATTTGGCATGTTAACAAGCAGAGAGACAGCAGTGCTCCACGCATTTCTCTCTTCAGGTTAATTTGAAAACGTTTCTTGTTCTATGTATTTTATTGCACCAAATCCACCGTGACAGGATACATTATAGGATCACAGAGCAACAGCCATGCCAGAGCATTCTCCTGTTGAGCTTGTTACCCCGTTCCCAGGGGGATCATGGGAATTCAGCCACTGAGCTGGTGAATAATTGCTGGAGGGGTATGGAAATCTCCAGCATCAGTGGGATGAACACGGTCATGATGGCAAAGAACATGTAGACTATCTCCAGGTTCAGACCAGCACCGTGTCCTACATATTTAGCGCTGGTTTATTCTACGTAAGTGTCCTACCTGTGTTAACTGAGGCCCACAGAATTATTCACCCAGTGAATAATATTCAAGTGTTTTTTTCACAATACCTGTGTGTCTGTTCCTGGGATGGAGTTGCTTCCCCACCTCACCTCGGGACTTCTGCATTGGGAAGAGCAAACTCCAGAAGGGAAATAAAACACCTTTCTTGCCAAACATTGTTCATTTAGTACCAGTTTAAATTTAAAAAGCAGCCAGGAAGGGCGACAAGTGGCCCCAGTGCCACCTCCCCACAAGAACCATGCCACGAATGGGAAACTGCGCCACAACGCCATTCCCTCTGTCTCCCCAGAGAGGCAGATGAGCCCCGGGGGGGGGATATTAAAAACCACCAAACCAGCCCCAGGCCCTGCACCACTGCAGCCCCTGGGAGAGGTGGGCATGATAAGATCGTGGGATCACCTGTTTACCCAAGGACCTGCCTTCTCAGGGCAGATAAGATCGAGGGAGCGGCCTCGAAGACAAGAGAGCTCACCTGAAGTCGCTGCATACCCTCACTGCACTACAGGGAGCTGACAGGGTACTTTTTATATGTGTACTTTTGGCAGCACTTTATGCAAGGTACAGCCTCCCCTCCTTCCTGCAACAACCGTGATGGTGCCAGTGGTGGAGCATCCCTGCCTGGCTATGGCTCTGCCATCCCAAAGGGCACCTCACAGAAAAATATAATACATAAAATACATACATAATACTATATATGTTGTGTATATTATATGTTTTAAATTATATTTTGTATATAAAATTTTAAGTATTTTATAAAATATACATCCTGTCTTCTCTCTTTTCCCCCTTTTCTCCCCTTCTGAGGTGAAGACCCCTCTCACAGCAGACTTCCCAGTGTCAGGCTGCAGCTGTTCTGGGAAGGGCGGTTCTGGCAATCACAGCAGCACAGGATGCTTTGCTGAAGCAGTATCATCTCCCAAACTGGTGTTCTGCTGGGTTATCTCCCCTGCTCAGTGGGGTTCACACCCAGAAATAAAATACTGCAAAAATAAAACATCTGGCTGTATCTGTAAAAGCCTAAACTGACAGAAAAATGTGTCTTTAGGAAATCACATCTGAAAAAGGGTTTGCCTCCATTATTTCACAGAACCATAGAACCACGGAATGATTTGGGTTGGAAGGGACCTCTAAAGATCATATAGTTCCAACCCTCCCGTTATGGGCAGGGACACCTTCCACTAGACCAGGTCACTCAAAGGTGCTATTTTATCTCTCACCTATTGCACGTAATTGCTTAGAGGGAGGCAGTTCTCCTAGAAGAGCTTATAACAGCTTTCCTAATAATAACAATGCAAAGTAGACTGTCTATACTGTATTACCACTGCAGTGGCCTACGCAGTTGTTACTGGACAGCATTTCTTCCACAGATATTAACAAGTAAGTGTGCTGCTCTGTATTACAACCCTGTGGGGGTTTTCTTAAATCTGTTTTAGGAGAAAAGCAAACCTTTTTCCTAGAGAATTAGCAGAACAATAACCAGGTTTAGTTCTGTCATATGCAGCTTTCTTTATAAACAAGAGATTATGGAAAGGAATAAAAAAAAATCTCTAGTGTTTAGCTTGGCTATCCCTGACAGAGACTTTGGAAGAGCTTCCAGAATGGAAAAAGCAGATGTTGCAAATCTGCCTTATCTACAGAGCAACTGTTGACTCTGTTGTGCAAATCCTAATTTACATCTGCATGAAAGGTTTCAGAGATTAAATGGCATTCAAGGAGGAATATTAGCTTTTCTCTCTCCCTCCAGCCCTTCTTTGAATGGATTTACTACTGGCAATTAGCTTTCTGTTCCATCGGCCAAGTAGAAAACAGGATTCATCAGGACTCTACAGTATCCTCCTTTTAATGGACTGTTTTCTCAGATCACCCAATTCAGATGCTGAGAGTTAGAAGAAATAAATCGTCACAAAGCTAAAACAGTTACAAAAACACTTTGGCCAGAGGGATTTCTCTCTGACACTTAGAAAGTCCTGAGCAGGACAAAAAAACCCGCCAGAGAACAAATCAAAGAGGTCTCCTGGCTACACCTAAAAAAACAAGAATGTAAACCCTCTCAAGAGGCAAAAAACTTTGGTTGCTGCTGAGAGCCCAGAGATGGTCCCAAGGACAGCCTTCAGCCGGGGCTTTGCTGCCTTAAAGGAACAGACAGTGACGGGGAATTTTCCTTAAAATCTGGCCAGACTGTACACTCACTTTCCTTGGTTCCCAACTCAAAACATAAAACAGGGAAGCAACCACCACTCATTCGTATCTAGCTAGCTCAGAGTTCTGCACATAATTTTTTTAACAGAAACAAAAGAACTGACGTGAAATGTCCTCCACTTCATCAGTGGTCCCTAAAGACAGGGAGCAGCAGACAGCAGACAGCAGGCAGCATGGGGATGCTGAGGTCCCCAGGCTATGAGAGCTCCTGCTCAGGGATGCCCATTGCATGCCCTGCTCTCCCAGGTGCCGGAAGTCTTTGTGCTTTCCTCAAGGAGGGCAGCAACGAGCTGTGTCAGTTCTCAGCGGCCCACGCTCACGGTGGGGATGACATCAGTCCCAGCCTGGCACAGGTGAGCACATCCTTGCAGCTATTTGCCTGCATATCACACAGCCCACCTCACCCAACCACGGTGGCCAAACGTGGTCAACCCAGACCGCTCCCTGCTCAAGGCAGAGTGACGGGACACCCGCTGGGGCTGATCCTTGGTGGAGCACAAGAGACTGTGCTGTCATCCTTTTGGTGTCTTCCTTTTGTTGCTTCTGAAGAACAGTGGCCAACTTGGCCTCAGCTTTTGCACAGCACAGCAGGGGCATCCCGGTTTGATGTTGACAGACAGATCCCACCACAAAACGGCTGATGTTTTACATTCCTGCTCCACATGCCTGAGGAAGTCCAAAAAAACCTCAGCTTTGCAGCAAGAAAGCAACTACCACGAGCCCTTTCAAAGCCAGTGGCGGCAGCTGTGGAAACTGAGGCACAGAATGAGGTTTCCCAGCATCCCAATGGACTGGGCAAAGCTTGTCCCCAGACTCCATCAGAGCAGAACTTGGTCTTACTAAACTGTGGAGGCCCTGAGATCTTCAGCATTAATGCACCACACCATCCCTCCTGCTTCACTGGACCAGGTTACCTGGAGGGGTTTTGTAGATGAAGTGCACCAAGCACTTAGCAAAGTTTGCAACAAGGATGGCAGCTTACAAAAATGAGTGCTCAACAAAGTATAAGGAAAGGAAAGCCACTTTATCTTTGAAAATACTTTTAAACCTTCTTGTAAGTACTTAAAAGAATAAACACACTTTGCTGAATAATTCTTTTAAGTTATTTTTCCTGGGATCTTCCTCTACTGTCTCATTTGCTTCCTAAAAATCCTTCAAAAATTAATTATTGGAGTTTTGACCTCCAGAGTGGGCTTTCAGCTATTTAGTGAATTCTATCAAACCTTCCCCACCTCTTAAGTGCTCTTGCAGATGAATTTTTAAGCAATACATAAGTTCACCAGGCCCAGAAGTTTAGGTTTACCTCAGAGTAACTTTTTAAGGGATGCAAATGCTCCTGTTTCCTTTACATTTCCCAGGCTAGCTTTGCCCTGGCAGCTACTTGTGATGCTTCTCTGGTACTTGTGATGCTTTTCTGAAGTGGGCTTTAAGATCACATGGCACCAGAAAAAATTTGCCATAAAGCCCCAACCTTTCCCCTTCGGTTCACAGCTATGCAGCTCCCAAATCCCAGGTCCTCTGCATTTCCCTTGCACTTTTAATGTGCACTCCTCTAATCTTCATTTAATGCAGGCAGCTGGCTGCAAATACCCCCAAACAATGACTTTAATCCTAAGTATCCTGAAGGCCCCCCCCCTTGCTTCCCGCACCAAAACTGAAGAAAAAAAATAAAAAGAACAGCCTCAAGACAGCAAGATGGAGAAATCCAAGCTATCCAGTGGGCCAAAGGAGCAGAAAGACACAATGAGCTAAATTTTGCCTGGTTTGCTAATTAAAAACGGAAGCTACCCCACTCCGGAGCCAAGGCGGGGAGGTGGGGGGAGTTTTCATGCTATTCAAAAAATCGCCTTCCAACTGGGACCATATTCACTCCACATTAATTGTCATTCCAACTACGAGTGTCCTAGTTTCAAAATGAAAACTACTCTCCAGTGTAGCTAGTGAAAACTAACACCAGTTTCGAAGCATTAAACAAAATTTATTGATTGCATTTTCCCACCCACTAAAACTTTAATAAGCATTAAACCTCAAACTCCTGGCCCCGTTTCCTCCCTCTACCCTCTCTCTCCATAAAAAGGGTCAGGCTCCCCTATATGGAGATTAGGACTTAATGTTTGGTATTTGTTTATGAGCCTATCAATTGCCTTTATTTCAGGGGGAGGGGGGTTTAGGGTTAGGGTTGGGGGGGGAGCACATTTAAAAAAAAAAACACCTCCTCTTGTACATGGATTAAGAGAGGGCAAAGGTTTAGGGTAGTTTGGGTGGTTTTTTTCCCAACTGATTGTGGAGTTTAGATATATGATGGATCATGTTCATGTGAATGAAAATAAGTAAATATTCCCCTTTTTGCAAGTTTCCCATGAGTTACATAAAATGCTATTTTTCAAAGATCCCTATTTCTCAGTAACAAGATGCAGAACTTTCAAGTCTTCTCTGCTGGCCGTTTTCAGCTGTGTAAAAGGGAAAAATAATAATAATTTGGGGGCCACTCAGTCTGCATACTTAGTAAAAGAAAATAAAGGTCAAACATTTGAAATGCAAAGGTCGATGATTAAGGCCAGAAATCCATATCTAGGCATCAAAATGAATAGCCAGATTTTGAGAGTGCTTAAGCAATTTAAATGCAGAGCCTGACCTGGCTCAGCATCTTTTAAAACCAAGCTTGTTATTTCAGAGTCTCAAGCGAGATTTAGGTGCCAGGTACCCAAGCTGAAGAAATTTTAACAGTAATCTCCTTTCGGGAAGTCTGATCCACTTTAATCTGAAGTTTTGAATGACAAACAATTTTGTTACTTATAAAATACATCTAACTAGAGCTGCAACACTTTGTCCTTGTGCTAAACTCAAGTCTTATCCTTCAGCATTATTAGAAAGAGTCGAGAGAGATGGCAAAAAAAAAAAGTAACGTAAAAAATTCTTTTATTTCTCCTCTTTAAAGAAGGCTGCTAAAGGGATTAGACAGCTTTGAGTTCACTGCTCTGTTAAATCAACCTTACAATATTTTTTCAGCTTGTTTGACTTGCTGTTTGTGTATACATTTGTGTTTTCACCTTTCTGCATTCAAATCCCACCCTTAGCGTTTGTTCTGCGCTTCTCACAGGAAACTTAGTCAGTTCTTTATTTGTATTAAGTCTACAGAGTTATAGAAAACAGACTTGGAAAACAATCCCTAAATTAGCAGGACTTACCGGCTTCCATGCATACGCGCATACACACAGAGCATCGCATACCATCCAACCCGAATGCAGAGCTTTATCATTTCCAGCAGCAACAGAAGGGCATCAGGTTCACCAGAACGGACCTTTTAATGGTCTCCTGCAACCGTATCTATTACACCAGGGTTTGGACTCCACGTTACAAATTAAGAGAGAGTTCAAGGAAGTCATGCGTGTCTCAGTTCCCACTGCCTTCAAGCAGTTTTAATGCCCCCGAATAATCATCTTCTACAAACTGCACTAGGCTAGGATCCAGTAATGCCAGAAGCAGGTTAGACACCTCTATGCAAAGGTATTTCAATGCTGCTGTAAGGAAATGCAGACCCTCAGCAGTGGGCCATTTCCAGCATCCTGCAAAAAGACAAGGCTGGCCCTACCTGCATGAACCAGAGACCTTCCACTTCACTTAGGGATACCTCCCCCATCCTCCAAAGTCTGATTTTCCCAGCTTTTCCCTTCCTTTCCCCACCAGAAACATTTCTAAAATCTCCTTCTCTCCACGAATCTAAGTGACCAGGTGAGATGATGCAGTTGTGACAGAAAGGATGGCTGCTGCAGCAGGCAAGCCAAGAGAGGAAGTAAACAGCGTCTTCTCTCTGGCAAATGGAAAATACAGATTATAGAAACTGAGCCCAGCAGCCACCAAAGGACTGGATTTGTCTTAAAGGTGGGAACCAAAGCTAAGCTCCTGCCATGCTCCCTTGGGTGGGATGAACCACTAGTACCACTAGTGAAGACAAAGTTGGATAGCCTCCCTTGATATATAACCCATAAATTGAGCAAGAGCTGCCCACAGTATTCTGGCCCCTCCACTCCCTTTCCAAGGGTGGGTGGCTAATTCAGGGTCATCTCTTCTTCCTGCCTGCCCTGAGACACCACATGTTGCTTCTCCAACTGCTCCTTCTCATCCCTAAAACAGCCAGGCTCAAGCACTGGGTGAAGTTATTCCTGCAAAGACTGCGCTGCTTGTCTGTGTTTTATTTGCTATGCTCTGGGAGGAGGGGGCAGAGGGGGAAAAAACCTCTACTTCAAACATTTACATGTATTTTGAAAGCATCTGAGAAGGTTTCAGGGCCTTTTTTTGCCAGAACTAACACATTCCACCCACAAGATGACCTTGTTCAGAGCATTCTGATGGTTCCTTACAGGCAGGATTTGCACTGTGAGGGGTCACCAGATCCAGGGTCAGGTGGGCAGGGCAGTCCAGTTTCTCAGGCAGTGACCCACTACTGAGAGTGGTGGATACAAACGTGCCCCTTTTTGCCCCCTGCACTGAGGGAGATAGGGCAAAGGAGAACCCCCGCTGCTCCCCTCTGCCACCTCTGTGCTTCCCATCCATTCACAAAGACTTCCACGATGGAGAAACCCACGGTGTTCTCAAATCCCAAGATGCCAGCATGCCTACACATAAAAAGGAGGCAGAAATCTCATTCCTTCACTGAAAATTCACAAGTTGAAGGCCCAGTACATCTCAATAACACTTTCCAGGCATTATTTTCCTTTTTAAATGGGCAGATCACAGAGCATTTCTGTGGTAGGAGGCTTCATGTTTGTGTTTCCTTTGCCTCCTAGTTCAAATAATGGCAATACTAATTGAACCACTGAGCAAAAGAAAATTGAGTGTGACGCTTTAGTCAATACTCTGAGGGTTCCCATTTGCTCCTGCAGCTCTCTGCTCTATCTGGAACAAGGGCAAGAGATGGTGCCGCTGCCAAGATGCCCCAACTCTGATACCCAAATCTGAAATAAAGTATCTGTAACACATTGTCTACTCTGCATGTACTTAAAACTCCACAGTATTTACAGCATTTTTACTGTATCCCAGCTAGCATGGCAGCTGGGGATGCAGAAGGGTGGTTTTACCCAGTATCTTCAAGGCTAATGCCACAACCCCGAGTAGCCACTTACACCCTTCTTCCCAAGCCGAGGGAACCAGGAGCCCGGAAAGCCTGAAATGTATTTTTTATGCTTAATTACAGATTTCAAGTGCCTGACGCAGGGCTCTCACTCATTATGTTTTGACACTGATGGCTTTGGGCTGAGATAGAACAAATGCTTTGCGCTCGCTCATCACTCACTACATCCACCAGTGTGGTGAACGTAACTCAAAGGAAGGTGGGTGATGGATTTGTAGCAACTTTGGGCAGGGATGCAGAGAGGACACCATCTGCTGCTTCTTACTTGTTTTGCACCCCCCCCCCTCCTTTCTGTAATTAATCAATTCACAAATCAGGAGACAGAGTCTTCTTGCTGTCTCCTCTTGCGATCACCCCTGCGAGGCAAAGGCTAAGGACACGGCAGGGTGGCTGCAAGGTCTAAGTGCTGCCTGTGGAGCACGGAGCAGCATTCCAGCCAGTCAGTGGGAGCACTGGGTTCCCAGCCCTGTGGCTTGTCCCACTCAGGGGCCTCTCAGGGCCCAACCCACCACATGCTGGAAGAAAGAGGCTTTCTGAATTTTCTTTGGAAAAAAAAAACTAATGCTTTCGCAGAAAGCTGTGAAATCATGCATAACACACCGGCTGTAAAAAGTTAAAGCATTTTTAATTTTTTTTCCCCCCAACTGCACTCAGCTCATCTCTTCCTAGGTTGGAACTAGGTGATCTTTAAGGTCCCTTCCAGCCCAAGCCATGATTCTGTGGTTCTAATTTATGTACCTCCATTTACCAGACCCCCTCACTTCTGCATGAATCCCCAGCTTATTAACATAACTATTTAAACTGGACATGTTTTCTTAAACATTCTTCTTTCATAAACTGCCAAGTGACAGTTGTTTACTGTCAACAAGCCTGGGTACTCCAAGACAGGGAGAATAATGTCCTTTCAAAAGGCAGACATATCGGCTACCAAAGGAAGATTAAAATCTGGTGTTTTTCTTTTCTCCCTCCTCAAAAATGCTTTATTCGTACAGATACTCATGATACAGATCAGGAGAGATGGTACTATGCCTAATTCCAATCATTCTTTTAATTAAAGACAGGCTCATGGAGGATTTATCTTCACTTGCACATGCTAGTTGTCAGGGCACACTCAGAACTCCCTAATCTTCCCACTGCAACTGGTTTTTCCTCTTCACTTTTAGCTGTGATACCCCCACCTCCCAAGGCACATCTCGGCTCATCTCACACAGATCCTGCTACTGGCTAGAAACAAAACGCTTGCCTGGGGGAATCTACAGAGAGAAGTTAAAAAAAAAAAATTAAACAAAAATGAAATCACCGGTTGGTTCAGGTCCTACAGTCTCCAAGCAAGCCGCTGAAGTATTTTGCTGGGAGGGAATTGCTTGCACTTGAGTCTTGCACATGAAAGTAGGGATATAAAAGAAAAAAACCTCCAAAAACCAAACCCTGTGTATGGGAAAACTTTCCCCGGAACTCTGTCTGCCCACGAAGTGCCAGGAAAGGTCCTCTGCCGGCTCCTGTCTGGTGCAGAGTCCCGGGGCTCAGCGCTTGTCCCCCAGCCCCGGCTCACCCGCAGACCCCCGCGGGGGATTATTAACACTTTCCCCGGCGCATTGTGCGGCTCGCAGCTATTATTAGCGCTGGGGCTAATGCCGGCCGACACTGATACAATGGCAACGAGGATGGGGCATGAGGGGACGGGACGGCGGCGGGACTGCGGATCGACTCCACGCGGACCCGCGACAGAGCCAGGGGGACCCGGGTGGTGACCACCACTGCCGCCTCTGGTGCTCGCGTTGGGGTTGTCGCTGGCTCGCATCAAAGCTGCAGTTACAAAAAGCAAGATGGGAAGTGAAGGTCTGTGTTACAGCCAGTTAGAGAGGAATGGGAGGTCACGGAAAGCCAGCTCCAGCGATCCCCACCCCCAAACCGGGAGCCCTTTTACTCGCCAGAGTTTCCTCTGCTTGTTAAAATGTTTGGGTCATTAGAAAACTTTCCAAACAATCCCTGCTTATGCTAAATAGCTGCTCCCACCACGATCTGTGAAGGGCTTCAGCCTGCTCTCTTGGAAATCAATGGGGGCTTTTTTTGCCTAGGATTCAATAGGCGCAAGATCAGGACCTCATTATTATTTTTACAGGACTACAAGCAGCAGAGAATGGCGAAACCCCTAAAGAAAGCAATGACCCTCAGAACGGGGAGCCAAATTCACTATGAAGGATCTTTACAAGCTCTGTCAAGCATCAAAATAAAATTAAAAATCCAGTTCTTGGGAGCTTTTCAGTTTTTTGACAGGGAAAGCGTAAGGTTGAGAAAGGCTGGCCTCATCATTTGGATCCACGGACATCTCCCGTAGCTCCCTTTTACTCAAAAGAAAAGCCTTCATAGATGTGTATTTTACCTTCCCCAGGGGGAGTGAGCAAGAGGGGACGAGCTGTCAGTTCAGGGTGATGCCAGTTACCCTGTGGTACCCCATGGAACAGAAACACCTTCCGGGGTTCACACGACCTCCTCTGCCACACTCCACAATGAAACCCCCCAGTAAGTCCTCTCTGCAGAGCCACCACTAGCAACACAAGAGGACCAGAAGGCTCCAGGGACATGGGTCCTGCTACAAGGACCATGCCTGCACCCTGTCTTCACAGAGGCCAGGTGTCACCTGCCTTTTGTGAGAGGAGCCCCAGAGATGCTCCTGTCCTTGGCACCCTCCTTGGAGCTCTCCAACAGTCAAGGTCTGCACTTCTTGCCTGTTACTTTACATCACTCCTCCCTCTTGGCATCAGCAGGAACTCACCTATGCACCACATAACCACCACAAGGTTTGGCCCCTAAGCAATACCCAGCTATTTTGCTGACTCCCCTCCACTCAACTCACCCCAGGTCAAGTCCAAAATGCTTCAAATCCATTACTTCTGAGTACTTGTCCAATTCCTATAAACTAGCAGTAATCTGTCTCCAAGGCTTTACTGATTTAACTACATCAGCTGAACTAATTTAGTGAGTTTCCTTGCAAACAGCACAAGATAGTTCAGTGCAATCAAGACACTACTACAAAACACTCCACTTTCCAGGGCAAAAGCACTAG